CTATCTACTTGTTTGAGATTTCCTACAGTCATTGCAACTCAACAAGGCACCTCTACTAGACTGCTTATGTATGGAACTAGGTCCACGGTGTTCAACTGATGGTAATGTCGGAGAGTGGATTGAAAAAGCTGTTGATCGCCGCGTGCGTGTGCTAAAGTTCAAGCTTCTCTGGTCCAGAGATCCAGTTAGATTGCCTAAGAGCCTTTACACATCCGGAACTCTCGCTAAACTGTCTCTCTCCCACAAGATTCTCGTGGATTTCCCTTCTTCTTCGTGTCTCCCATCACTCAAAAATCTCAAGCTTTGCTATGTGGTGTATGAAAACGAGGCTTCTCTAGTTAGATTCTTGTTGAGCTGCCCTGCTCTCGAGTATCTATTTGTTAAACGGAAAAGGAATGACAATGTGAAAAAGTTCACTGTGAAAGTTCCTTCTTTACGATTCTACGTACAATTACAATGACGTAGGAGACACTGGTAGGTGCTTGGTTATTGATACTCCCGCATTAGATCGGTTTACCTTGCTTGATATTTCGGGAGACTATTGCTCAATCGAGAATATGCCTTGTCCTGAGGATGCATCTTTGTTGAGTCTTACCCTGATGTCAGACTTTCAAGATCTCTTGCTTCGGTTTTTCTCTTCATTTGTTTATGAATAATGACCCGGTAACTCTTCCTTATACTATTTCTCTATTTTTCGTTGTGGTTACATTGTTGCATCTACTTACATTGTGTTTGTTTCATCGCAGCTTGTGTGGTGTGGAGCCATAAAATTCTCTAGGCTTATAAAACTAAGTATAAGTCCAGTACATTCATATTGGTTGGAACCTCTTATGATTTTACTTGGAAATGCTCCAAAGCTAAAAAATCTTATAGTTGATTATGTACGTATCCTTCTCTTATGGTTTCGATATTGACTAAAAATCTAAAGTTATTGCTTACTATAAACCCTTCGTTGCTTCTCAGAAATTTACTGATAGTCCCAAGGATCTCCCACTTTCATGGAACCAACCAAATTATGTTCCCATATGTTTGTCGTCACAACTCGAAATGTTTGAGTGGATAGAATATGGAGACAGAGAAGAAGAGGAAGAGTTCTTGACATACATCCTAGCTAACTCCAAGTGTTTGAAGACCACAACAATCTCCATTAGTTCCACTTTCGATCGTAAAGACCAAGAGGATATCACCGTGCTATTGACATATATTGCTAGGGTTTCAACATCTCAGCTTTTGTTCAAATAAAAATCGCATTGTATTGTGCTTAACCATATATACAAGAAAAACAAGTTACTAAGCAATCATAGCCTTATTTCGGACCCTTAAATGTAACTCGCCAACTCATTTAATCTTGATCACTTAACTCCTTTATTAAATGAGTTTAAAAACATAGTTCACGCTTGTCAAAAACTGAGTTGAGTTGAGCTAACTCATAAGCTAATGACTTGACATCCCTAGTTATATCCTATCATATGGATTTTCATTTCAATATTATCACCACTTTCTTATTTGTCTCTAGCCTTTCTAAATTTTATAGCTAAGATATTGTTTTCATCAAGCATTTTAATTAGTGAAGATAATTTTTTTTCCTGATTGCTATTTTCCCTTCTCGATTCATAATTGACAGTCTATATAGTTCAATTCATTAGTTGTGTCCAATAGAATATGTACATTTGTAAAAACTAATCACGACTTAGAAATGAGTTTTGGTTTAAGGATTGGGTTCGTCTTTGACACAAAAGAACAAACCAACCACCACAATAAAAGAGTATTTGGATTATGTACGTCAGTCTGGAATGAACAAAGAATTCAAAGCACAAATGAAATCACTCGGAGAACAATAAACTAAAAGTAATTAAGAATGTCTTTAGAGTTTTTAGTACTAATTCTAGAGCCGATTGGGAATTGTCCCATTTTTGTTCTTGTTCGCTTTCATTGTGTTAATTAAGTCACTTCAGCTTAACTGTTTGGGGAATAACAGTTTCAATACACTGTACAAATTAAGGAGATGAGTGAAGAAGAAGAAGTCTTGAGATTCCACTGTTTCTGTGGTGGGTTAGTTTGTTAAATGAGTCTTGACGATATATGTTAACATGAGCTGGGCTTTTGGGCTTTTAAATATTACTATCAAAACATACCTTCTTAGGCCTTTTCAGCCTATCAATCATTACGACTCATTATTAATTTGTCACAGCATCATCATAACTTGTGTAATTTCTTTTTTTTTGACATGGACTGGTTTTGGAATATTGATTCAGCTGAGAGTTATTTTTTTGGTCAGCTGAGAGTTTTTTTTATCAATAACCAAAATGTTTTTAAGGTTCTTGAATTTTGTTGGTGGAATCAAAGAGAGGAAAAAACATATCATAATTAAATCTCATTAAACATAGACTGCAAAAGAAGATTGGATAAAAATCTTAGTGGAAAGACACAGATAACACTAGTGGAAAAAAAAAACAAACACAAGATAACAATTAGTCGAGAGGAAATGGAAGAGGCCAGTAAGGGAATTTCAAGTCCTTTAAGAGTTCTCTACCATTGTAGTTTTTTCCCAAGAAGTTATTGCAAGTTTTGGTGGTTAGATCATAAACACCAAAGTTGTAGCCCACAAAGTAGATGCAGTTAGGCCTTAGTCCAGGAGACGAGCTTGCTGGGACGCATATAGCCTCGCTATGTCCAAGAAAAATGCAGAGATCTCCAATGTCTTCTGTGTAGATCATATTCTTATCAACTTCATCATCCCCTGTTTCCTCTGCTCTAAACACCATGAACTGTGTTGTTTTGTGCATCAATGATCTTAACCCAACCTTGTCGTAATCTTCGGCAAAGTCCTCACCGTACCTGCAAAGACACACCATAAAGCCAAATACTATTACACTCAAGAAAAGAAAAGAAAAAAAGTATCTACACTTGAAATAAGATTTTATACATACCACTTGACAAGGAAAAGTTGTCCGGTGGGTGATTCCACGAGGTGGTCGGTCTTGGAACAAGGACTAAGGTCCTCCAGCTCGCCAACCACCGACTTAGGAAGATCGTCAAACTCCATGTAAATAAACTCGGGTTTGTCTCCTTCCTTGAAATGGAGATCCAAAGAGCACAAGTGTTTGCCTCCAGGTGATGGAATATAGAACTTTTGATCTTTCTTGGAGAACATGATACTCGAAAAAGGACTTATAGACTCCGGCATGGCTTCGATGTTGATCCATTTAGGGTTACCAAAAGGCCTACATAGGCTTATCCGAGATCCCGAGAACTTGACACCCACTACCCAATCTTTATCTCGAAGAGGTAAACAAGACATTGCAATGTTTTGGATTTTGGAACCACTAGGCAAAGGAGGTAGAGAAGTTAGCACTGCTTCTACGTCAAGGTTAGATGGATTGTGACTGATCCGGATACGTAAGGAATTATCAACGTCATCACTGTTTTTGTCCAAAGGCGTGAATCTCAGTGACCCATTACGCGAAAATCCGAAAGTCATCGCATTACGGACCTCATCCTTGAGTTTGGGATCACTAATCCAGAATTCCTTTTTCTTTAGGAGATGGTCAATCAACAAAAACGGATACGTTGGTCCATATGAGAACATCCGAACGTTCATGTGTCTCTACAATGCATTTATAGGTACCATTGAAATGAATGAATTAATCAGAAACAACAAAAACCAAAAGTTTAAAGAAACACACAGAAAAGCTTAACTTACGTGAACATTTTTGAAGACGGAGGGTTTGACAAGTCGGAGCTGAGACATTTTTGAAACCCTAATGAAATCTATATCTTGTGACTTGCGATTGTGATCAGTGATCTCTCATCTTCTTCTACATCTCTGTTATATACAACGATTACGCCTTGCACACCAAGTTCACGTTATCTAGATAAAATCATTTATTTATTTTTTGTTTAAGCAGATAATCATTGACTAAGGAAGTAAATGATTCTGCCAAATCTTTATTTGTTATATAAGAAAACTCAGAAAATGTAATATTCTT